GAGAAATTTCGATCGAAATATATTACGAAGAGCAATTTGTAATAATAGCGTCGCGTCGGTTGTCGAAATTTAGAACGAGCATTGAAAAGTATAAAAAAAAGTAAAAAATTCGAAAGAATTCGTTAAATCCGGTACACCAGCATTTACGAATGACCAATAAATTTATTAGAATTAGCTTCCGAAAAGTCTGATGCAATCCAAAAGGATGTATGCATGTCCATTAGCACTTTGTCGAAAATGTACTCGTCCGCGAAATCGATCTCGATTTAATCGCGTCAATTACGAAATCAATTGTTGTTAATACACGTTAATCCGCACTACAACAACGTATTACACGATAGAGATGACCGATGATAACCCGAAGCAACGATGATTTGAATCTCGGAAGAATATTTGTTAATTAATTAGTTGATTGGAAAATACGTGCGCTCACCTCAAGACGCCGCGCGGAAAAGAACAGTTTGACTCCGTCTTCGAGCGTTCGGGGTTGGGGCGGACGTGGGCGTGGTGGGGAGAATGATGTGATACGTCGAAAGACAGTAACATGATTGGTTAATCCGCTGATTTATTAGCGACAGTTTAAACACCTCGGCTAAACAAATTAATATTGCAAAATTAACAAAATGTATAAAGAAAACAAACTAAAATTTAATTTCCTCGTATTTAATTACCTCTGTGTAATGCAAAATTCTTTGTAACATTTTCCATATTTCGTCAGAACTGAATTTCCAAGTTTGATGAAAAGCCTAAGTGGTCGGGGGAGTCGATTAAACGATGCAGCCGTTCACGTCTAGTGTTTCGAAAAAATTTGACAGTCGAATTTATTTGAATCCCAGAATCACTGTTTAGACTCAAAATGCACAATAAAGTCATAGCCTGTTCATAAAATCAGCACTTAAAATATTTTTGCAAAATTTTGTATACAATGAAATGTGTAAATCTAGTGACATTGTTTGCATAGGGACAGTGGTCATTGTTCCCCCACTACACCTAGTTAGATAAAATCTCGAGATGAACAAGTGTATGTGTCCGAACTAACACTTTATGTTTTCTTTAATTTTTAATTCGCACTGTCTCCGCTGGATATCGCAGTTTGAACACAATGCGAATCACTAAGTAGCATGCACTTATTATACACGTATTATACACTTATTATAAACTTCATCTGAAAGGTTTGTCTATTCCCTCTTTGTAACGTTTCTTTTATTTCAAAATTGTTATTGTTCTATTGTATTGTTATAGTGTTGTCAAGGTGCTGTCTATCTATACGTGTTCCATCTGGCCGAGATCTCTGGTCGAAACACATGGACGAGAACGAAAGTTAACGTATCGTCGATGTCAATAAAGAATTTTTTTCTTGTGTATTCTACGTTCGAGAACTGTGTCTATTGCAATGACATACGACTAAAGTGTCGAGGACTTTAAGGTTAGTAAAGCGTAAACAGCGTCGTCCTTTGCTACTATGTTCATGAAACGCACGTGGACTCCGCGAATGTAAACACAGGGACGAACGACAGAGGTTCTATTGAATCTTTCCAACACCCTTGTGTTTCACACACTTGTTGACGATGCCTATATTATATCGTCATAAAACAAGTTTTATCGTCAGAAACAAGAAATACACTGTTTTTTATTTAAAGTAATAATTAAAGGTTTTCTATTTAAAAAATTTGAAAATTTTAAGCAACTGAACATTATTTAAATAAAATAGATTTTTATTTAAATAACACGAAAGTCAAAATTCTAAAATAAATTTTGTGTATTTTTAGCCTGACAATGTATTGTTTTTAGGTATGTATACAACGACCGATAATTTTTTGTGGCCAAAATAAAAAATGCTGTGTGCGACTTATTTTTAAAAACATTTTAATGTAACTAATATAAATAAATTAAAAAATGCAATGTTTGAAGATTCTTGAAATTCTTAAATTGACTCTAAACATTACTTATTACTTAAGAAAACGCGAAAAATACTAATCAAATCAACTATCCTGAAAAAGAACGCGATTCATATCTTCATTTCGCAACACTATTTCGCAATTAAAAAAAAAATTGGACAATACGACGAATGTTATTACATTTATTAATTGTAAACCAGTAGTGACAAGATTATTAAATATTCATTTTTCCATGCAGTCGATAAATCAGGTCGCAGAATATGATCAGTACAAATAACAAATAAACATATGTCAAGAACTGAGATATTTATTATGTAAATAATACAAATTATTATATACCTATCACACCAAATCTCAGATTCTCTGATTCTGTAATGCTTTCTGAAACTAAGGTTTCGTAAAATGAACTTGATGCTCACATGTTCAATGTTTTCAAGGATAAGATTATAAAATGCACATCAATGCACATTATTGAAGTTGTCTAAGAACTTTAATAGAGTCGTATATTTTCTATGTTACACAAAAATGGAACATTATCAAATACAGGTTGTTCTAATAAGTGATGCATCGGTTTGTGTGTAGCTACATGAAAGAATAAGTGATTGGAAATCGATTATACAGGGTGTTCCAAAAATGTTGTAACACCTTGAAAGAGGCGGTTCGGGAGGTGATTTGAAACAACTTTTTCCTTAGCGAAAATGCTGTCCGAGGCTTCGTTGAGAAAATATTAACGGAAAATACTGACCAATCAGAGCGCGCGGATACCGTTGGAGCGGCCGCGGTAGCGACGGCTATGTGCTAAGCGGCCGCGCTTGTACGCGAACAAGCGACTCGACGTGCATCGAAGGACATTGGACGCCACCGCTTACCTCGTAGCCTTCACTACCGCGGCCGCTCCAACGGTATCCGCGCGCTCTGATTGGTCAGTGTTTTCCGTTAATATCTCCTCAACGAAGCCTCGGACAACATTTTCGCTAAGGAAAAAGTTGTTTCAAATCCTCTTCCGAACCACCCCTTTCAATGTGTTACAACATTTTTGGGACACCCTGTATACATTTATCGAACTTAGTAAGGTTACTAAACGTAAACAAGTTTCTCCCTTGTTTTTACATGAACGAAAAAAAAGAATCTCAGGAATTTCGTACAAACAAGGGTAACAATATATATCTACATATATCATACATATCGATACTTTTCACTTTCCAATTTCTATTTCCGTTCAAAAGACCCGCGCATGATATTGAGGAGTGACAACCAATCACGTTTAACGTTTCTTTGGAACTTTTAAAAACTCGAATTTCATTGGCCGAGTACCCGCAACCCAATGCGCAGAAGAACGACGCCGAGAACGAGGCATCCTTCGTTCGGCGGCAATTGAACAGAGCAGACGTGTCGTGTCGATCAGTGATCCGGCAATTAATAGGTAAACATAATTCAATTTAATCATTATCTAATCGTTGTTATTTCTACTTTGCGTTGCTCTTTATCATCTCCTTAATATATTAATACCATTCCTTGTTAATTGAATCGGTTTTTGAGAAAATTAGATTGATTTCATACTCTCATCCTTTTCGTTCTCCATGAGGTACCAATTGATATTCGTTCGAATATCAATTCGTACTATGGGACTACGTCTTTCACAGTAATATTATCTTTCTTTTTTCGTTTTCTTTTCAAATAAATTTGTGCTTAGATACAGTAAAAATATATATTTATCGTAAATTGATTTCGAATTCGAATTCTGGAATGTTCCGGGATCTGACGCCATGAGTCTGCGCGATGATCGCCAACCGCCATTTCACGTTCAAATGGCTACTTTACGTTGAATATTTCGAGCGAAATTACTGGATACGTCATATCAGAAAAGTTGTGCAGCTTACCGGGGAAAGCAGAATAATAGGTAATATTGTCTTTAACTATTGTCATTATTAGATTAAATTGTTTATCTTTCCTTCTATTTCATTATTATTTCTGCTTAATAATTACGAAAGCATTAATGCTAGAGCTGGAGTAAACATTTTTACTCCATTTCTTTACAGGTACCAATTTATTAATTGTTTAATAAAGACTAATAATTACAATTTTAATATTCCTATGAAAATTGTAATAATGGTTTTTTAAAATTAACAATTATATTTTATAATCGTTAATTTTAATTAACACTTACATCTATAACCGTTGATCGATAATTCGATTACATTGTCCCCTACATTTTTTATACATAATTGCTATTACCTGATAACAATTATAAATTTACAGGTTTTTTTACATTTTTTGAAAAATAATAATTTTAAACATTTTGGCCATTTTGATCATCAAATAATATACAAATAATATTTTTGTATTAATTACAATTGCAATTCAAATAACGTGCATTAAAATTTTATTAGTTTATTATGAATATAGAATAAAATTGTAAAAATGTTTAAGATTTCATTTTCTCTGTTTCGTTAAATTAGTAAGAAATTATGAAAATGTATATCATCATAGAAGTTCACAGTTTCTAGAAAATGTAGCATACACTAGTAAAAGTGCTTCGACTCATAAAATTGATCAATTTATAATGAATGTAAGATAAAATTGTAAATTTGCAAAATTTACATATCTTTGTTGTACAAATATAAAATGTAAGAGTTTGCAAATTTAGACAGTTTCTTCTTACATTCATTATAAACTAATAAATTTTGTGAGTTCGTGCACATTTACTTTATTACAATACACTTTTTAGAAACTTGAAATATTTATAAAGCTACATATTTTTATAATGTATTTTAAATGTGTTAGAAACATAAGAGATCAAAGTTATACATTTGCGTAACATTTACATATCTTTATTATACAAACGTAAAATGTATGATTTTGCACTTTTAATGTTTTAATATTGTAATTGCTGTAACTTTTTAAACATGTTATTAATTCGTGTGACTTTTGTTGCATATTCTATACATCATGAAACAAATGAACTTTGGAGTTCAACGTAAGGAAAGCAGAGCAACTCCGAAGTTCTACATGGATAATGCAGAGCTACTCCGATGATCAGCAACAGCAGAGCTACTCCGATGATCAGCGACAGCAGAGCCACTACGATGATTAGTATCAAGACAACGGTTGGTGAGTCGCATGCTTTTACGTTCCTCTGGTCCCCAATCATGTCGTAGGACGAAAGGTCCAAATCTAGTATATAAAGTATATATAGTAAGACATTATGAGAAAGTTTTTATGCAAATAGTTTACTCTATTTATATAAATAATAATTCTCTTTCAAATAGTGAAACAATTATTTCATTACAAAAATCAATAATGTTCGGTATACTTTGATAAAAAAGCAAGATATCAAAAAAGCGTTTACCCATCATATGTCCTTCACAATACCATGCAGCTGTTGTATAAAAATATATAGAATAGAGGATTCAAGAATTATTTGGGACAGTAAAAATAAATGGCTTACTTTCTATTATTCAGTACAAATGGCATACATAAATAGAATAATATAAACATAAAATATTAAAATGAAAATACAGTGTTTAAATATATAAAATACTATATTAAATACATAGGCGTATAGACGTGTTATGCTTTATGTTGAATAAGTCGCGTTTATGATATAATACTGATACAATACAATGTTAAAAAACTCAAAAAAATAGAAAACTGTGTACATTACATATATAGAAAAAACACTTCAGAAGTCCAAATTTCGTAATGGATTAGTGGCATCTTCTACTTCTTCTTCTTTATGTTTCATAACAGCGAGATGCATGGATCTTAAAAATCGACTTAAAGTACATCGTTTAGTTCGCATATAAAACGAATAAGCTAAAAATGGAATTTTCCTTAAAATTCGACCACTGAGACCTTTACTCTCATGACTAAGTTCCATGAGTTTAAGGCTATTTTTTGTGTGACTGTTCTCTTCATAACCCATTTTTTTTAAATATGAAAAATCAAAAATTTGTTCTGTTTCTATGAGCGATACCTGAAATACAAGTATATAAGTAATACAATTTAAGAAATACATATATAATAGGAATAAAAGTATGTATTCGTTTACCCTCATCAACTCTTTAAGGCATGAAGCATAAATTTTATATATGGCTTGTTGAGTAGGATGGCCAATATATTGTCTTATGTCTGCTCTATCGACAAATGCTAAATCAATAGCCTCTGATAAATTACTCGTTGTTAGAATTAAAACATTCGGATACCGTTTTATTTGATCCAGCTGTGTTAGCAAAGCATTCACAACTCTTATGGAGTCTGTGGGTTCTACACCATTGCTACACGATTTACGAGCATGTGCTAAAGATTCTATTTCATCTATTAGGATACAAACTAGTGCTTGTGAATTTTCAAGAAGGCGCTTTATTTCGTTAAATAATTTCATGACTAATTTTCCACTCTGAAAATAAACAAAGATAAATCTTAATCACGAAAATAATTTGCTTAGTAACTACATAGCTAGGATGTTACCTCTGAAAACCACTTTGAAAATAGACTATGACTGTTTATTTCAACAAATTCACCATGAGTGAATCGATCACCTAAACGAATAGCTATTTTTTGTGCAAGAGCTTTGCACAAGCTAGTTTTACCAGTACCTGGAGGTCCATGTAATAATACTACTTTATTCCAACTTATGATATTAGAATTAACACTACAGTCTGAAAATATCATTGTTGTTTCCACAAAATGCAATAACTGGAAGAAAAGAAAAGACATAAATATTTATGTATATTACAAAAATTAATATAATTGAAAAATTGTAATTGAAACAACTGAAATGGTTTTAACTAACATCTTCTTTTATGTTAGAATCAAAGTAAAGATTTTCCCATAAAAAATGAAATTCTTTTGCAGGCAAGATCCAATGAGAAGATACTGGCAAGTCTTCGCTATCGTTCTGCATAATTTCTGTTGCTGCATCTTCTTGTGTTAATCTATACACATGAAACTTTAGAAGGGCTCCTTGTACTTTCATATGAGTTCTCTGTAACAATGGAATTTATTTCGGTAAAGCTTTCTGTAAGAATTCATTCAATTTAGATAGATTACCTCTCCATAACTTGAAGAACATATTATCGATTCAACATGACTCTTTAAAGTATGATTGGAGATATTTTTTTCATACGTGATAGTTTCTAAAGCAACATCCTCTAATGCATTTATTTCTGCATATGCTAAATCCTTTAACTCTGACTTAGACAACGTGCTAAAAATAAAATGTTGTGTAAACACTGTTTAAAGAATATTTAACAATCCTATTAGAAGAATTTCTATTAAAATGTAAAGACAATACACGTGCAGAAAATGTAAGTTCTCGTTAACAAAGAACCGGTAATACCTGTCGGCTCTTTGACATATTTCCACGTGCAATACTTCTGGCCCTTCCATCATATTCGTATTTTCGGCACCTTTTAAATCAATAGAATTGTTTGAATAATATTACGAGATTATTTTTGTCTATTAATTTTTTCGTTAAAATGCGTATATACGCTTTACTATACATGCAACCACAATTTGAAACAATTTCAAATTGATACGCAGATGTTTGAAAATTGTCGCGAATGAAAATACTCGTGCTTGATCATGCTTGATTCACAAGAAATAATACCATTGGTTGTGTAAAATTTGGTAAGACTAAATTTAATTATCCTAGTGAGGGGAAGAGTTTAGGCAAGGATCCATTTTCAGAGTAGGTCCTAATTTAAAAATACAAGATCATGAATACCAAAGGATCTGACAAGAATTTAATTATTGTTAAACTACTCTGTAATAATATATCTGAAATTTCCTTACCACAGTTTTAATAAAAATTAAAGACTGTGGATTAAACTTAATACATCTAGTGATTTACTTTCGTAACGTTACCATACGTCGGTGGATCACGATCTATCTCATCAAAAATCTATGACATAGTACTGGACGCTATAGTAATTTGTATTCTTAAAAATTAAACGGTTCGAAGGATTTTCCAGTGGACGGTTGAAACACATGGTTTGCAATGTAGTGGATGACGATATCGATTGAACAGAAAAGTGTTTGTTATTTAATGATTAGGATTGTTTATTATTAGCTAATTAGTTAAACGATCGTCATTTTATTAATTAAATGAGCAAAGCAACAGACGATGATGAGCGTAGAAGACGCTCGTTGGAGGCAGGCAGAGAGATGGTAGGTCAAACAATGTCTTTCTTTGTTTAGGATTAATTATTTCCTGACGCTCCTGCATTTAAGGTTAATTTCTGCTGGATTTTATTGGACTATTTCATATGGAATGTAGTTCTTCCGCAGTTTCAATTTTGCAATATGATTACATATATTAAATAATTGCTAATTATAAATTACTATACACCATGTTAGAAAGAAGGGATTTTCTGAAATATGATTATCCTTTATACATTTATTTAGTTTTACACAATATGTGATTTTTAGCTGGAGAGATACAAGGTGGAAAGAGCTAATAAAGCTAAAGGCTCGGGTCATAATTTGACAGATGAAGCATCTGACGAAGAATCTTTCCATAATGATAAATCTACTGGACATAGAGAATCTTATGTAAGAATAAATTTGAAGAAATTTTATACTTTACATGTGTATAGTTCAAGGTCTTCTAATGGTACATGTAAAATGTGTATGAAGTTATAGAAATATTTTGGTAAAATATAGGTACACGAGGGTACTTCATCAAGGGATATAACACAAAGTAGCGTTAGCATGAGTGAAGGAGAAGCAGATGGTGACTTGGAAGGACTCGCAGGAAGAGTAGCTCGATTAGAAGAGTTACTGCAGGGAAAAGAAGCTATAGTTGAGGCTTTACATGCAGAAATAGATCACTTGAGAGCAGAGGCTTCATCACCCAATTCTTCTCAGAGTCAAAACAGTAGTATACATGGCAGAGATATCATATCCTTGTATCATACAAAGGTATATTATATTTTTAGTACACAGACAAATATTGGAAGATTTTTTTTGTGTACATTGTGTATGCTGGTAGTTGTGCATTGTGTTTTGTTAAACAGTTGCAGGAATTTGAAAAGGCAATAAATAAACGTGATAACCTAATAGAAGAATTAACATGGTCTTTACAACAGGCATTATCCGCTAGGGATAATCTTGTTACTCAACTGAATGCCATACAAGTACCCAGCAAAGACAGTGCCAGTGCAGTAAATAAGACAAATTTACAAGAAAAGGTAAGTATTATGATTAGGTTGAAAGGTAAGAGATTCTGAACTTTTCATACAGATTGATTTTTATTTAGAATAATATCTTAGAAGAAACTTTGAGTGATCAAAGATCAGTAATACAAAAATTAACTGATCTGGAGACTAGACATGCCAAAGAACTTTCAATATTTCAAGCCCAAATGAGTCACTATAAAAAAACTGTTGAAGCTTTGAAACTAGAATTAGTAAATCGCTCTGAGTCTCAACAAACTGCTCAAGCTGAAGTAAATCAATATAAAACAAAATTGAACGAGTTAAAGGTGCAGTATGAGAAATCTCGACAAATACAAGAATTGGACTATCTAAAGGCGAAAGAAATGCTAACCGAGCAAATAAAATTACATAAGCTGCAATTAGAAGAAATGACTTCGAAATATGTTGCTGTAACTGCAGTTTTAGAATCGAAAGAGAGCATTGAACGTTCTTTGGAACAAGCCTTAACGAATGCTGCAACATTGAGAGACGAGAATGAAAGTTTGAAGTTCAAACTAGACGACTTATCGTCGCGATACTCTGCAGCTCAGTCACTGATCGAGAACAGTCAAGTTCATGAACGAACTTTGAACAATAAAATCCATGATTTAGAAAAGTCCTTGTCAAGACTGAGCGGTATAAACATGAGTACATTCAGTGAATTAAACGAAACTACTTACCAAACGTTGGATGAAGTAGCAATTCAGTATCAGATGACAAAGCAAAAACTCGAAGAAAAAGCAGAGTTAGAGAAACTTCTCGTAAATAGAATAGAGAGTCTTGAAACTGACGTTCGCAAAACAAAGGCAGAGTTAGAAGAATCAAATCTTACTAAAAAGTCGTACGAGAAACAACTGAAAGATATGAAGAACACATGTGATAAATACAAGTCAGAGCTCAGCTTGTTAAAAAGGGAGGATTCAGATAATCAAACTTCCTTGCAAGCGAAAGTATATGATCTGACGGAAAAGTTGATGAAATCTGAGGAGGAGTGTCGAGAACTAAAAAATGGATTAGCCATTGCGTGGGCTCAGTGTGCAGAGGTGGAAGAAAAATTGAATCAAACATTAGCATCAAGTGACAGCAAACTCGATATTTCTGTACCAACTTCGAATTGTAGTACTACTTTAACAAAACAGTTTAAAGTAAGTAGAACTGCTAATGATTCTGGGAATACAATGCATGATCAAAGTACGGACACGAATAAAATGTTTTACGAGAACAACGAGGAAGCTGATGCTACAACAGCAACATTGCTGCAAACGAAACTTGCATCAGTAACAGAAGAAAATGAAAAATTGTCAAAGGAATTAGAACATTTGACGGAAAAACAAGCCGATTATGAAGAAGTTAAAAGCAAATTGAGCCATTATTCTTCGGTTTCGGAGAATTTGTCTAGTGAAAAAGAGCGCGTGACGGAAGAGAATAAGATTTTGAAGAAAAAATTGGAGGAAATGCATTTGTTTCAAGAATCTCTGAATCAATTGAGATCAAGTAAAGAATCGTTACGTAAGGAAATCGAGGCATTGATCTGCGTTCATGATGAACAAATAAGTGCAATAAAAGCTGAAACCGCATCAGAAATTAGGAAAGTACAGTCATTAGCTTTGAATGTAGAAGATGGGACGACCAAACTACACGATTTGAAGGCTGAATTGGAGTTGCGTCACGCGAAAGAAATGGAAGAATTACGAACATACTTTGAGCAGAAATGTTTGCTAATGGAGAAGCAATATTCTGAAGAAATATTCAGTCAACAATCAAAGAAAATGTCTGACAACGACAGTGAAGTCGCAGATGTAACGGAAGGTTTATATTTCGGAGGTGCGGGAGACTGTTTAAATGTTTCAAACATGTCTGAACATAGTTCAAGAGTCGCTTCTCCATTAGAGGATGAACAGTTGAAGCTTAATAGTAACAGTTTTAAGAACCTTGGTAAATCTGAGCTTGAATATGAAACAATCATCAAAGCTTTGCAACAAGAGTTGCAGAATAAAATAATCGAAATGCAGGATATGAAACTGAGTTACGAGAAGGCTTTAGAAGACCAGAAGAATAGGCATGAAAAAGATCTTTATGAAAGAGGAATCGAAAGACAGTTGTTAGGAACTTTGGTGAATAGGGTGAGTACAATACTTAAATGTGGTATGCACTTTTTATTCGTGTAATTAACGAACTTTATTTGCCTTTTGTTTTGTGTTAATTGTTGAATATTTTCCTTTGCGTGATAAAGCAGCTTCTTTCTGTATAAAAAAAAGGGGGTGCATATTAATAAAATAATATATTTTTTTTATTTGTTCCTTTGTTGTATTTTTACATTAACCCTTTGCACTCGAGAAGTGACTCTGTCACAATGCAAGTCTGCGTCGCAGCTCCTTGGTTGCTGCTACAGCGACATAGTAAATCGCTTGCGCACAACGTGGAGCTGCTGAGATGTATTGTGGAAATCTAAAGCAAAGGGTTAAGCTATATTTTAAAATTAGTATATTTGAGTTTTGTAGAAGGGTTAGTGTTTGTTCAAATAAAATAAATAAGTCATAAATAGTTTTACAAAAGAAATGCACGATATTTTAACTTATCATGAATGTAATTCATATGTATGTTTTCTTAGTTTTAGTTTATTTTTTCTTAATTTGTGTTTACGCAAAACTAGCGTTAAAATAATTCTAGTCGCCCAAGTGATAAATAGTTCCTATCACTTTGAAAAATTGTAATATCGCATAAATATTTTAAAGTAGTTATTAATTAGTACAATGTATAGTTGGGTACAAATTTCTGACTTGGAAGTTAAGTTCCGTTAAACTAAATAGAATTGTAATGTATAGTTCCTCCTGTAACTAACATGCTACTGTGTGACCACATATGTGTGCATGCAGCATTGTCAAACAGAGTGGGATGCGGGTGCGTTGGAAAACGGTGAATTAACTCAGCTGCGAGCGGCCTACAACCATCAATTGGAGGAACAAATCGCGCTAGCTAAGTTGGATATTATCAATGCGCTTCAAGATCAAATTCAGGTAGCTTTAGATTTAATCACACGAACTTGTGGCAAATTATTTTGCAAAGATCAATAGACTTGTATGCCATCTTCTTGCAAGAAAGAGGACTAAAGAAAAACCATGTTTATGGTCAACTTATTTATTGTTTTTTATATACGCGTTATTCGATATAGGCACTCTTGATGGTCGAGTCGGATACTGAAGACAATTGGTCACCGGAATTATTAGAATTGCGTGACAAACTTACCAACAATGCAAAACATGAAATGCAGCAGCTCAAAGAAGCGCATGCTGAAGAAATTCACCGTTTGGTGGAAGAACATTCTCGCAGTGTAGCCAGAATGATCGACCGTCATCAAGAGGAATTAAATAGAATTAAGTCAGATGGTACTCCTAATTATGATGAAAAACAAGATTCTAACAAAATCTTGCCCGTGGATTACAAGATTTTGGAAGAAAGGTATTTACATCTTTAATGAATTACAAACTTTTATAAGCACTGTTGCATACTTATCGAATATATTGTTCTATTTTTATTAAACAGAAATAGTTTAACTAAAGCATGTGCCACTCTTAAAACATTGGTCGAAGATTTAATACAATACTTCGTTGTATGTGAAGATGAAGTAAATAACACTCTTATTACTGAAGTTCTTAAAAGACAATTGTGCGATAGCGCTAGTAGCGATAAGACAGCCCATATTGAGGATATAACAAAATTGGAGAGTCGAAATGTTAGCTCTGCGTTAAACTCTTCCCAGGGGAGGATTCGGAGAGTTCATTTCGCTCCGAAAACTACTGAAATAATATCCATAATAAACAGTGACAGTGAAACCTTGCAAACTATAATGGAGGAAAATAATGACATCACTGAGAAATTAAAACAAGAATTGAACAATTGCTTGCGACGTTTGAAGACTGAAAGCGCTGAAATTTTCGGCACCTCGTCATCTACTGATGGCGATCAACGTGGTGCACTTATCAAGGAAGTCACGTGGACGGATGAAGCATACGAAGAGCTCAAGTTGAAACTAGAACATGCAGAATCTCTGATTATCGGTTACCAAGAAGAAACGGAACAACTGAAAGTTACTATTCTTAATCTCCAAAGAAAGCTGGCCAACGTGGAAAATAAGAAAGAAATCATAACAGAAGGTTATGGAGAGAACGACGAAGTGGGCAGTGACGTTACACTGCAAGATTTTTCACAATTACAAGAAAAAGGTAACCATTTTAATTGTGAAATCTCCATAAACAATCTTTACAATTGTCATTCATTTTTTAGCACGGCACGTGATATCAAATGGAGCAGGAGACTGCACAGACCTATTGCAATTGATAGATGAACTATACAGGCAAAGTGACAGATTAATGGATGACGCAAGAAAAGAGAAAGAAGACCTACAACAACAGGTAAACTTAATGCTTCTTTCTCGACGAGTGCACCGATTGCATGAATTTTTATTACACAGAATTGGTATGCTACATACAAAGAAGTTGTGGTGTATTGCATATTGAAAACGAGTTATGTATTTGGTAGTTTATTATTTTAATGTTTTATCTGTATTTATGAGCTTAGTACAGTATTTCCTTTCCTGGTGACTGTCTGTTTTGTCTCTTTTAAAAGCGCGGTATCATCTCCAACGCCATTTTTTTTTCGTCGACGCGAGGAATCTGTCGGCTTGAATCGTCGGACATTCGGATTTAAAGACATTTATACTCTTTAATATCTCTTCATGAATATTATCGTAAAGTTTTCCCGATAAAAATGTATTTGAACACAATCTCATTTGAGCTATTCTTATTTATATGTAATTGAAAATGTTTTAGGAACGATTTTACGATCAACGAACGTTTAGAAATAGTTCACTCATGTTTAGACTCATTTTCATTCGGAAAATTGTCCTAGTCTATTGCCCATACTTTTATGAAGATGCAATGAAAAATATAAAAGTTTTTAGTTTGCATTAATGTTCACTGTTAAGCTCTTTTCTTTCCATGCGCTTTCTAGATCTCTCAGGTTGACAACTATCAAACTCAACTTCTCGTCACTAGGGAAGGCACTACTGTATCGATTCGTATATTGCACAAGATATTGTTCAAAGCGAGTAGTGAAATCAGTTTTTATCTATGTTTACTCTCATTATTCGTATTTTATATTTTCACCAAAAATTCATCTGATTACAAATTTTCATTTTTCTGTGTTTGTTCGTTTCAAGCTTGTCGTTTAAAGCGAAGTATTTCAAATGACGAAAGAAATTTGTTATGAATGATATTAATAAACGTACCGATAGCATAATGAAAAAATATCACGAGTAAAATTGTATGGTTCTGTAATGCAGTTTTTAAAGATTGATTGGCGTTGTATTATCTTGCCAGCAGGTGCCTTTAGAACCTACTCCTCCCCCATACATTCACAGGGTATGCTGCCGAAAGGTAAATTATAGAAATACTAATACTATTATAAAATCTGCTGCGTAAGTTAATCGTAATTTTAACCGCATATATGCAACTTTTAACGCTGAATTGGAGACATTACGAATCTATTTCATTTTGGTAAAATGCTGCATCTGGAAATTGGCTTATCATGGTATCGTGCTGATTTCATAATAGAGTCATCATAGAAGAATACATAACAGTAACTCCCAAAATTAACAATAGCATGTATAACTATGGTGTATAGTTTCTTATTTTTATTTTGCATGTGCTTGATTAATATTGTTAAGCACTTCTTCTGTTTTCACAATTTATGTCAATTATATTTAGTCTTCTTTTTATAGAGCTAGTAGTAAAATGCAAAGTGTTAATTACCACACGAAAAAGCAGTCGAACTGAATCACAAAGCAGAACTAAATTTTGCTGACTATTTAAAATGCTCTTTTTTTTGCATAGTTGCACATTTTTATTTACATTATAGAGGCATGCAGTTGTTTATAGTACTCACTGCAAGTGCATTTCATTTATTGTCAGATGTGAACTAATGTCTTTCCTTGATAATGTGTCCAGATTTTAATATGCAATTATTTCACGTGTGTTATAACATATTTATAATTGAATTAAAATTCAGTGTGTCTTGTATGAATTATTCAGTTGTTTTTTTCTAACTTGACTTTGGCAACAATTTTAATTAAGAAAATACGCATATGTAGATCGAGGCAGCGGACAAACAATTAAAAGCAACTCGCAGATTCCTGGATGAACAGGCAAGCGAGAGAGAAGCTGAACGAGATGAAGCTGCAAAGCAAATACAGATTTTGCAAGAACAACTTAAAGAACGTGAACGCGATAAAGAACGGGATCAACGAATCACATCCGAGGTAAGTTTAAGAATATTTTATATTCCTTGCAAGGGAAGAACGGGCAATCAAAGTGGTTGCAGTTTTAAATCGCATACAAATTACTTAAAACTAAAATTGTACTTCTAATTGAAATAGCCCGTAGTTCAAACTGGACTATTTATGCGCTCTCGAGGTGTCTGCTTTTCTTGGAAATTTGAAACATTGAAATTTTATTTACACTGTTGTTCCAATCTAATTAATATGTTACATAAAATTCAGGTGTAAGATCTAAACCTTTAACCTAATAATTTTTATTTGTTTTGGATTGGGATTTTTTCATAATCTTTACTGACTCTATATAAATATTTTTAAGCGATTCGACTAATGAATAACTCGTGGGAAATTTTGTGGAAATTTATTTTGTACTTATGATTATCGCCGGCATTTGCACCAGTGTTTCTCAAACTGTGATCCGCGAACCTTTGAAATTAGCTAATTCTCGAAATAAAAATAAAAGTATATTATAGTGGAACTAGGGAAATACTTGTCGCGATAAGGCGTTAACATTTTTTTATGCAACATTGTTTCGTCCAATACCTGTTCTTCGTTACTTTTATTAAAGTACAAATACAAGAAAACTACTCTAAAGTGTTTACTAACAATTTTCCTGTGTCAAAAGAGTCTATGGGAAGGTGAATTTTGAGAAACACTGATCTATATTACACTGTAATTAGGTAGCTTTTAACACGCATTGTTACTAATTGTATTAACACGAGTTTTTCTGCACTCTGGTTTTGGTTTTCTGTTCGTTGCACAAAGCAGACTACACTATCACCTGTATCAACGTCAGACGTCCCTGTGTTTCAAGCATCTGACATCACTGCTGCTGTGAGTTGTATTCTATTTATTATATTGATCAGTATATTTGACAGTATTCCAATATACAGGACATTAGGTAGAGAGTATAAAAGATATATTTTTCTTTAATAAAAATCAAAATAATTTTTATGCACGCAATAATATTGGTTTAGAAGCTTAATCTCAACACAATGGTCACATTAACAAAACATTATACGCTTTGTATGTTACGCGTTAGTGGTGTTTCTTTGTAACTAGTTATGGTTGTGGTTAAATAGATCGAGATAATAGTTAGGAAGTTCGATTTTAAAAAATTGAACCAAATTCAGGTGGAGGTCCTCGAGTCTCAAATGAGAGAGATGAGCTCTCGTATATCGGATACGGAAGCTAAAAAGACAGAAACTGAAATCGAACTGAAAGCAGCTGTTGATAAGATCTGGGTGCTAAGGGAAATCATTACCGATTTGGAGCAACAATTACAAATAAAGACTGAGAAAGAAGAATCCTTGCAGCTTCAAATAAATCAATTAGAAACTGTTATCGCCGCTCAAACTAAGAACCAACATGATTTAGTGCAGGAACTAGATTCAATGAAAATGGACAGTGAAAATAAACAGCTCAACGAACATATCAGTCTATTACAGGTAAGTCTTGATAAACACTGTTTTCGAGAATATGCTTACCTACAAATATGATTCTACAGGAGGAATTAAGGAAGCACAAGTTAAGTTCAGAACAGTTCAGCGTTAATTCTGCAGCATTGAAGCAAATGAAAACAGAATTGCGCGATATGCTATCTCAGTTGGACAAAAAAATTAAAGATCTAGAATCTGTGCACATGTGCAGCTCTAATTTGAGCTTGAGTCAACCAAGCGAAGATGTATCCATTAGGGAACAAATAGATGCGTCTCGTTGCCCTACTCCGGAGGATCCTACTTTACCACCAATGTTGCCTCTCGATCAGTTGCTTAAACTTAAGGAGAAAATGATGAAACATTTTAGAGCCGAAGAAGTTGTATTTAAGAGAATTAAGGATTTAGAAATGCAAGTGACATCTCTGAAGAATCAGAACGAGGAACTGCAAGCAGAACAGGAGATTTTACAGCAAACTGCCTCTGAACAATTGTTCCAAATGGAAGCAATGCGTGGTCGTTTGGAGCAACAAAAACAAAATGCCCCATTTGCTCAGAGGCAGGCAACGTCGCGTTTAGAATTGCAACTTCACGAAGCTAACGCAAAATTTCAATCGTTAGAGCGAACTGTCGCTGACAAAGACCTGGAGTTAAAAGATGTCAAAAATCAACTGGACAGAGTTAATCAGCTTTTGCAAGAGAAAGAAGCAGAAATTGCGAAAGTCGTGCAAGTAGAGAGCGCAACGATTCAAAAATTGAAAGAGCATTTAGAAGTTGCCGAGGAAGAAAAGAGAATATTACAGGCACAGGTTGGTGTCCAAGAACATGCTCAGCTAGAGTTGCCTCGGTTGATCGATAGCATGTTGGCCGACAAAAATGAAGAAATAGATCATCTGAAGGAACAATTAACTAAGAAAGAGAAACAACTTGAATTATATTCCTCGTTGAATTTAGACGAAACGCAACTACGAGAGTTGATACGACAAGCAGATCCAAAGAATAGTGCTCGTACGTTAAGCGATATTTTGTCCATTCACTCGGAATGCGAGGACACGGCAGAAGCCATTCGAGGAGTAAGCGGGACTCAAATGCTTCCCAATGCGTCTACTTTCAAAATTCCTACTCCGTTTGTATCATCTAAGAACGCGGACGAGTCTGTTATGCCTTTAATTGATCCAACTAATATGATCTTACAAGTGCCACCGCTGGATTTAGGATCTCAGTCTCAGTGTTCGTCGGCCACGCCTAATCAACAGTCTATAGGCATGGAGTTGTTACATAGTGGTTTCGAATCGGGAAATACAGGGAATAATTTGTCGATAGACGAGACAGAACGCGTCTCACAATCAAAACAAGAAAGCGACAAATTACAAGAGTGCTCGGAAAGGGAATCCGATCAAAGGAATGAAAGTAATGAACATAATTCGCACATTACTTCGATAAAATATACACAAACCTCCATTAATGAGGCTATCAAGGAAATAGAGAACTTGGAGAACCAATTGGAAATTGTGAAGGAGGAATTACAGGCGAAATCAGCGGTTCTAGAGAAACGCGAGACAGATTTAATATCTTTGCAAAAGATGTACAATGAACAGCAGGTAGAATTCAAGGAAGTGGTCGAAGCACTCTCGAGGGACAAATGTTTCTATCAGAATCAATACGAGTTGTCGCGGGTATCTGAACATAAAATAAAGAAAGACTTGCAGGAGGTAGAGAATGTCCTTAAATTAAGAACCGAAGAAATCGAGGAGCACAAGAACAAAATGCAAACAAACGAGAAAATTATTATGGAGTTAAATTCGGAGAATACAAGACTGAAGAAGGATATAGAAGATAAAGAGCAGGAACAATCAAGAAAGTATACCGCCTTATGTATGGAAAGGATAAAGGAATTGCAAAATCTGAGAGATGCGATTCTCGAAAAAGACATCACTATAGAAACCATTCAGACACGCAATATCGAGATAGAGAACGAAAACAAACAGCTGTACGAATTCAAGACCAAGTATCAATCGTCGAAGCGGGAACTCATGGAGTACCAAATCGAGATCCAGAGACTAACAGAAGGTTTGAATAACAGAGATCAAATCATCAGACGATTGGAAGAGATGGCTAGACGTACTAGTTTCTCAGGAACATCTTCACCCTCTAATGAAAAGGATCAGGAGATACATCACTTGCAGGAATATTTGAAGGAAAAGGATAAAGTCATACGTCAGATGAGCGATGACAGCAAAAGTTTGCATAGAGCTCTAGAGACGATACAAAACAAGATGAAGGAATCTGGAAACGTGGTGGAGTTAAGGAAAAAGTTAAAGGACGAAAGAAGAATAAATACCGAATTACGGGAGATGGTAGAAAAGTTGAGTAAGGAATTGTCCGAATTAAAAGTATCCGCGCAACGATTACCCGAAGATACTGATATTGAAGATATGGTGCAGAGAGAACTCAATTTGTCAGCACACCTGGACAGACAAATTATGAGTGCTATTGAAAGTGATACAGAAGATAACGCATGCACGATGGAAAGACAAACTCAACAGCATCGAGATCATCAGGAAGGAATAAAAAGAAGTATGGAACTAAAATTACAATTAAATCAAGCCAATAAAATTAACGAAGAACTAAAAACACTGAAAGATGACTTAGAAATTGAGAAAGGAATGCTCAAATGTCAGATTGCAGAATACGAAGCCCGAATCTTCCAACTTAAATCAGATTTGACAGAAGAATCTAAAAAGGTTACGAAACTCGACGAAGAATTGACGTCTGAAAAGAATTTAATTCGAACGTTGAAGATTCAAATTGAAAAGGAACATAGAGCGATGCAGTCTGGACATGTTCAAGATTCAGAGTTGATCGAATTCCTTCAGGATAAGTTGAAAACATCTCTAAATAACGAAGCGAAACTTCGTAATGACCTGTCGGTCCTGCGCCAAGAACACAAAAGTCTGGAAATACAGTTGACTTTAATGAAGGATCACGTACAGTCTCAAAAAGCGGATGAGTTACCAAAGCTTGCTGAACTTTTGGAAACCGAGCGAAAGAAATACTTGTCATTTGTGGAAAAATTTGAAAAAGCAGAACGAAATAATTCGGAATTGAAGGACACTGTGAAAAAATTGCAGATGGAAAAGAATCGTTTCGAGAAACAGTTGGAAGTGGAAGTAGAGGAAAAAGAGAAATTGGTGAGTAGTCTGGCCTTGATCGAAGGAATCAAAGACCATCTGCAAACCGATCTCAGACGTACTAAAGAGGAACTCAAAGCACGAGAGGAAGAATGCGAGTGGCTACAAAAAAGGATCAAATCTATGTCTGATGCGGAAAATAGAAGGCAGGAGCAAAGTACTAGCGAACATAACGAGCTTAAGGCATTAAGAAGAGAAATTAATAATGCAAGGGAAGTTATGGTTAGTAAACATATCATAACATTTTAAAACACTTTATTTCTAAAATAATTTAAGGTTTTTTAATTGAAATTTTTTGTTCGATAGATGGATTTAGAGGCTGATGTAAAACAATTGAAGAAAGAACTAACGGAATCCCTTGAACGAGAAATGAAATTAAGAGATACAATTATTGAGTTGCAACAAGATTTGAGAACGACTGCTAAAAGGGAATCGGATCATGCAAAAGAAATAAAAATCAGATTTACGGGCGAGAAGAATACGCCTTCCAAATTCATACAAAAAATTAAGGTACCTAGTAGTATAGTAACATGGTATTTTACATTGCATTACAAATATACGTGTTGGATAACCAATACTCTGTTTAATAGGATCTTAGTGATATCAATGAAAAACACGTAAATGAAAAGAGTATCCTACAAGAGAAGCTCGGTAAAGCACGAGATGAGAAGGAGCACCTTATCCAACGAGTAAGACTACTCGAAGCTCAAATAAAACGAAACAAAAATTCTCAAGATACAAACGCATTAGGTTCAGATTATGTAGACAAGGTAATTTTGTATTTTAGTATATGGTTAACTTCTATATTTACTTACGATAATGTTTCTGTACTATAGTTGCAGCACTTTTATGGGAAATATTTACGAGCAGACAGTAGACGTAAGGCATTAACGTATCAAAAACGTTATTTGTTGACCATAGTAGGTGGTTATGAGCTTTCAGAAGAAAATACGTTGACTATTCTCTCTCAGTTAACTAAAGAACAACGATCTTACACTACGATGGGTCGTAATAAAAAATCACCAAAAGTACGTTTCAAGAGTGCAGCACTAGTTTTCATCAGTATATACAGAATGAAGTGGCTGATTCTTAGATGGACAACCGGCAAACGAATAGGTGTTAAATCATTATTGTGGAATGTAGATCATGCATTCATACCAGTGCAAAAATCTGTTATGAACCATTCACCTCCTGTTCGAGAAAAGTTGACTACAAAGTGAGTACAACGGTAAACGAGCATATTAACATTGTTATAATGTAAGCAACTTATATAAGAAACTTTGATTGTCCTTGCAGTTGTAACAGTGAGTTTGATGGATTTGCGCTTGAACAGTATTATCAACGGTTAAAAAATATTCAAGAGACATTAGGTTTAGCAATGACAGAGTCTGGAAGTCGACAGATACTTCCAGAATAGTATTACGAATGTCTAAGTCCGATAAGCTTTAAGACACAAATGTGAAATATACTCTGAAACTGTGATTGAAATATCACGTTGTTTTTTAATGCAGCCATTAGAATATGACCTGAATGGGATTGCTGTTCCTGTTTGTATTATCAAATGCAAATTGTAAACGAGCGTTATAGTCAAAAATGTTGTTGAAATTATATCCTTTCTTTCATGTATTTTTCATACCGAGTGTAAATAGAACTGTATCATAGAAACTGCAATTGTTGATACGTTAAATCTTCGCACGTTTACCTTATCATAATTTATCGTGTACAATTCACATCAGTACTATTATTTTAAACAATTTATAGAAGAGCGAACACAATAATGCTAACTATACGTGCTCGTTTGACACATTTTACCAAAGTTACGATAAACTATACCTTTACGCGTACTATTAGACCTTTTAAGAATGCAAACCTGTGCCTTGTACATTTTAATAAGTGTTTAGTATTTATTTATCAATAATATGTACGTTTTTATATAATGAATAAATAAAGTATGGAATGCCTTTTTATGAAACTAATGAGTAAGGAATTGATCAATAACTCTCACATATCGATATATCATTGGTATATTTGTATATTTTAACAAAAGGTACCTATCGTTTCAATTTAATAACACATTAAACACTCGTTGCCTTGTGTATTTCACAGTAAATATAACCGTAGGTTGAACCAGTTGCAATACTATCTTAAATCGGTGATCATCGTGTTAAAGGGATTCTGATCCATTGTACGAGAATTAATTTTACATCGCAAAGGAAGTTCTTAATCGCAACACTTTATGCAAACTAATTGGGAAATAATACTAATCAACAATTACGGTGATAGGAAGTTACAGAGTTCTGTTTCTTGTACATTTTTTTGTAACAATAACTAATTCTGTTATCAAGTAATGCCTAAAAAGACGGAACGCAATCGTCGCTTATAGAAGTTAGATGTTATTTACATATTTACAGTAAGATGTGTGATAAAATATATGGCGATCATCTAGCTTTATACAAGATACTTCAAAATATGCAATAGAATTCGAAAAAAGGTGTTTGCTTTCGGATTATATCGCGTTTTTTGAAGCACCTTGTATATTCTTGATATATCTAAAGTTACTTCCGATTTTGTTAAACGTAATCTAAGAATTTAAGGCTTTTTGTTAACCGTTTACAGTTATAGTTTAAACAGTGCAAATTGTATGTAGCTTAAGTATAATTCTGTTATCTTTCTTTTTGTTTTATTTCATACTTCGAGGTTTCACTAGCAAATTACCGATTTCATATTAATTGGAAACTACATCTTACGAATCCTTATTTCATCGTAATAAATCTTATAGAAATTTGTAATACTTTCTTTGTAAAATATCGTATATTGTTAAGACTTACTATTTACTCCGTTCAAAGTAAGTGATACGAATTCTCACGATGAAATCCGGAAGAGTTTAAAAAAGAACTTTTGTCCAATTTTTTGCTTTACACGAGAAAAGAAATCTTACGTACATCATTTGATAGTGGACGAAATCAAAACGTTACACAAAATTATAAACGGTTAATTGTATTATACTTTGGAATCAAATTAACAGCATTTCTTCTTTGCATTTGGTGCACGCAAAAGGAAGTCAAATATATCATATTTTTTGCGATTAGTGCATATTTCAAATTAATTGAATGAAGAAAAGCTAAATCATACGTGTTACTTTCAGTAATTTTAATTAGTTACTTGTGCATTCTCGAAAATTCAAACGTAACCGTTCACAGCAGAGATGAGCAAGATTCACATTTAGGTAAGGAAATGTATGAACGAATAAAAGATCTAAAATATTTACGGAATTACAATTAAAATATTTTTATAATTATAAAATATTTATAATGCGCATTTATAATTATAAAAATATTTAGTTATTTACGGAATAAATGAAATAAAACAACGTTTCATCCGTCGTTTGTTCAGTTCAACAGGTAAGACACCGTTGGTGACCACTCATTCATGACATGAGCTCGATGATCGATGACCAATGATCTATGACATAAGTGTTAATTCACCCCTGAAGAAGCTAACTGCGAAACGTTAGAACATTTTTCCCAAATGACATGTCTTGCAACCGAAAGTCTCGATAAGTATTAACTGTTACAATTTTTAAAATCCTCAAATGTTCTGTACGGAGTTTTTATTCGCCATCTATTATTTGAATAAAATTCTGTCCATCTCTGGTTTGTTGTTGTGTTTGATACTTGTCAGAATATTTTTACGCACGGTTCAGAAAAATGAATCGATTGAATCTATTTTCTTTCATGGACTGTTTACTTTAACATAATTTTAAAAGTCAATTGTTTTGGGAATGTCTATTATACATACTTATGTACATATTTAATATTTCTACATAGAAAATTGGTGACGCCGATAATTAAATCTTGAAGTTGTAGGTCAACGAATACTAAAATCTTTTCTACCGATACTTTGTACCAGAGATGGACAAAACTTTATTTGAATAATAGATGATCTTTTTCATTCGTTTATTTGAAATGTTTATCGAAATAAGAATTTTGTCCATCCTGATTTATATGTTCTGGCCTTTCAACCACTCTTGATATCGTATCAAGAGTCATGTTTTCTTTGGTAAACTGTATGTGATAAATCAACTATACCAGTAGTGCACAAAATTTGGTACTTTTATCAAGTTCATCTGCAGCCCGTAAAATAAAGATAAAATCAAACTTCAAAATAATTTGTAACATATATTCGTATGTTAAGCATCATACATCTTGTTTTTATCACTGATTCTGTGAAAAAGTAAAGAATATATCCTCAACTTAAAGCTTATGTCACTTGTTAATAAAAAAAAGTAGGAAGTTTTTGAAAAAGTGAATTCAAATATTTTAACTTTACCACTATTTACTTTTTTTTTTATATTACTATTTATATGCATTGAAAAAGCAAGGGCCAATAGGTATTACAAATCTGATTTACATGATCTGTAACGTGTTAACTTATCTTTACAGACACATTAGACGAATTTGTACATTTCCCAAATTTTCAGGGTATAACGTTGAAGCAAACAAGTTTCAATGACAAAATATAAAAAGACAATAAATTGACTTCTCAGGACATTTACATCCAGAGTTTTAAATATGACGAACTTAAAGAGACAACATATAGCTATATTGTTTAATATTTTTTTTTTATATTAGTTAATTAATTGATTAAAAAATGTAACTAGAAATCGTTGATGCCTAATACTCTGACTTACCTTGCTCGCAATTTAAATCAGAGAATATCATAACATTTTACAAAAATATGACTTCTAACAATTATCCAAATATTTTAGATATTACATTTCTATTCACACATATATTTGGTAGCATTTAAATATATAATCAAGTACTTTTAATTATAAAACTAAAGTAGATGAAACTGTGAATAAATAATATAATTTGCTATAACTTCATAGAAGCCAACTGTTAAAAAGCTTGTATCTAGCTAGAAAGACTACTATTATTGGCAATAGAATCACACAAATTTTTGTATACACATCATTTATTTTACGAACTAGTTTTATTTCTGTGAAAAATAGCAAGATGTGAATATTTGCAACTTTAATTTTAAGTGTTCACAAGAATTCAAATTTTTCAAGTTTTCGCCGACTCTTGTCTGAACTTTTTAAAACAAACTAGTTTTCAACAGCATATTTGAATTATATTTTTGTAAACCTTATAGTTGATTCTCCTGCTTCATATAAAAAATATGTGCAATTCTTCCCAGTAAAGTACAATGTCAGTCTTTGCATGATTCTTCAACTGCACAAAGTGGAAGCCAGAGTACTAAATAAATCTTGAAATAAATAATTTTTAAAATAAATTAAAGTAATGGTATTTTCACTTTTCAAAATTAAAATAGACAACAAAGAGTATCAATCTTGCAAGCAATATTTATATTCAGCACAGAAGCTTGCATAAATAAGGAATAAAAGTATAAGTAGCACAAAACGAATAGTGCTTCTGCTTTTGCAGAAACTTGTTGACTTTTAATTAATTTAACATTATGTTAAATAGAAATATGTTTTTTCGTAATCCGAAATTTGGGCCACAGAAATTATTATCTCACATTATTTGGTCCAGTAATGAAAAACGTTGTGCACCACTGGGCTTATGCGGTTCAGTTCATGAATGCTTTGAAATATGAATTTCATCTTGTACAGTTAAATACATACATTTGTTAAAAACTTATACATTTGGCTTTTCATACAAACTTTTTAAATAGTTCCTTTTTACTTTTTACACGAGTCTTGAAAGTTGTGGAATGAATTCTCTATTTTGTTATAAGCAGTATGTCTTTTTCAAGTATAGGGTGGAAGGAGGAGTTTAGCGCAAGGTATATTTTTAAAATTTACAATAAATTTTGATAAATATTCAACAAAAAATTATCTTCGATTTGTTGATATTTTTCTAATAAATTAAATAATTCTGTACAAAATTCTTCAAAGAAGTAGGGAATATTCTATATTATCAATTAATCGCTCCTCCTTCCCCTTCACTCTTAAAATTAAAAGAACCGTCTAATTATTTGCTAGCTTTGCGCGTTAAAAACCCTTAATTCGGCCCTTTTGCTTATCTATTTTTTTTACACGGTGTTTTTGGAACAATATCTACCGTATAGGAAGGGAATTAGGTTCATATTTTTCCCGCTCAAATCATCCGTGTTTGTGATTGGTGCATGCATCTTTGAAGTTTGTGGCATTAAACGGTCCAAAGTAATCGTCGTGAAGTTGTCGGATAATCGTCTCTATTGGGCATAATTTTGAATCTTTTCGCGTTCTTTCGACGTCCGCGCGTTCAATGTAATTGACACTATAGAAATTTGCATTCTTGCAGAAAGGTATTTTCTGTGTGAAATCTTTTCCATTTACCACAACACGGAAGTAAAAGTCACTGGCCACGTGATTCTCGTTCCTCGGATTTATGCGATAAACTTCGATTACGAAACGGGAAGCATAATGAGGCATAGTCAATTTGTCGGAAAAGATGCCCAGAGCTGTCGCCAGGTATTCCAAAGTCTTGTCGTGTCCAGAATAAAGAACTATCTTCGGTTTGGCTTCGGATATTATGCGTAACATGTAAGAAACTATGCTTCGAAGAAGCCCATAAGCTCTTAGCAATCCGTACTTTCGACGGCTGTTGCTTTTTGCCACTTGCCTAGACTCCCATTCAGTGTAGGCGAACAAGCCTGTCACATGTTCCGTTTTCACGCATACTCGTTGATTGTCAAAGTCTATACAAGGCAGGGAAGCACCATGGCAGATGTATGTCAGTAATGCATCTTTTAAGGTATTGGGATCCATTGTTTGGGCTTGATCAGGAATTTCAAACACTGCGTTGGAAGCCTGTTTTATAAGCTCTGCCACTGCTGGATGAGATTTGAGATGATCGGACATTTCCTGCAAAACCATCCAGAAGTTCAATATACAACATTGTCAGATACAAGCTATAGAATTTTTTAAGTAAATGTTATCCATTGATCGTCATTTGTTTTTAGGACTGAATATATATATTCAGTATTTTATATATGTTTTTCAAGTATGAAATCACTTGAATGGATCCATTCTCTGTTCCAATGTACTTACTTTTACATGTTGTTTAAAGAATTTTTCAGCAGCTGGACACGCACAGTCTGTACTACAAAATGCGTAGCTTTGACTTTCTTGCATAGTAACTTTAGCTAGATTTTGAAAACCATCAGTTTCCAAGAGAGCATACAATAGGGCAACCGCACTTTGGACTGTTCTTCGATACCTAGTGCTCCAGACGATAATATCTTTGTTGGATATTGTGCCATTGCCCAGATTGAGTTTATGGTAATAAGCGTTTCTAAGTATGATTCCAGTTTTTAAAAGTTGTCCAATGCCAAGCGTCGTCAACTGGCCAATTCTGCAGTCTTTGGAGTTGGCAGGTAGCATAGGAAAACCATGAAACGGCCCCAAGAATTGTGCCCATGATGTTCTGGAATAACTGGAGACATTTTGCAGGAAGTTTACATAATTCTGGTATAGGTTTTCTAATTCGGGTGTTGAACCAAACTCTCCACCACAATTTACTATGCTTATGTTTCGAATGTGAGCTAATGGCCCTCTGTCTCCATGCCGTATAAATACCAAAATACCACTCAATGTTAAGTTCCCATCCAACTTTCCTATACACAGGAAATTAGCGGTGTTATTGTATCGTTTTTTTGCATTGCAATAAGATAATGTTATTCCAAGTGTAAAATATTATGGTACCTTCGGTTTCTGCAATAATTTCATTGGGTGAATTACAAAAACGAAATATTTTTTTTGTTTTCATGTCAGCTCTCAAATTTCTCGGAAATTCCCTTATAGAAACATCATTACTTAGGACTCTTGTTTGTACAGAACTCCTCTCATCTATACCAATATATTTGTACATACCTACAGAATTTAATAAATGCCATTTTATTTCTCATACCTTATAGTAGTTTGCATGCAAGTACATAGTATAAAGGAATAAAATGGGGGGATGATATTGCATACTGAAAACTCATATACGTGCACCTGTTTGTACGTAAATAATAGATCGACATTCGATTCGCTTTATTTAGAAAAGAATGGAAAAATATGAAACTTCAAATGGTTCTTTAATCGTGCTCACGTGCACGAGTTTTAGCTTTGCTAACGAAGCCGATAATACGAAATCGTGTATGCATGCGTTAATTACATTGTCGTATGTTAATTAGTGAACATTTGTGTCACGATAAAACAATAATCTCTACAGAATATATTAATTAATGCAGTATTGTTGATTTAAAATATTAGAGGAATGACGATACAAAAATACTTGTTTTCAATGATTATATACAGATTATCTACAACCTACATGGTTTTAATTAATTTGTAAACTATCCTAAACTTTCTGACGTCGGTTTAATGTAATTTCTTAATTTGCTAAAGGATAGATGTGCCGTGAAAAAAGGGAGATAGATATAAAAAAACAAAAGAGAATATCAAGTTTCTGTTCCCAGTAAAGAGGCAAAATTTTTATCTAGATACAAATTTCAAATAACGAATAAAAGATAGACTGTTTATCCGTTACTCGTCCAATAAAAATTAGAATTCGATCAAATGAACAAGCGACGCGAATAAATCGCTATGCATTGACGTTAATTTTTATCTGTTCTTTTAATACAAAATTTTGCCTATCTTTGGTTCTCAGTTTACCAGCAACGAGAAGGAAGATCCAAACACTGAGGATCACGTAGCAGTAAAAGGCTCGATGCTGGTAAGATAATCGAACCATTTCGGCCAACATTTTGCAATTTGTCCTGGCCGAAGCCAGATTCTCCCGATCCGGATATCACGACCACGATGACGAGGACGTGATCGACGACGATGACACCGAGTCAAACAACCAGCATGAACCCGGTTCAACGACTTTGCTCCAGCCTGCATCCTCTTTTCTCGGCAACTCTATCGCATAATTCTGTTGCAGTGTCCTTCGGAGATACGAGAAAAATCGTGGGGATGATATCGAGAGAGGGATTGTCCACGTCTGGTCGACTCCTGGACACCGGGTTCAACCAAAAGAGGACGTCAATGGGCGCTGCCGCTTGTCTATTCTCTGACATTTCTTTCACCTTCCCTAAGTATATTCCTTCCTCGATTATCTTTTTGTTTACTTTTCAGGTTCCTAATCGGTGATCGTTGGAATTGGATTTTTAAATCAATAACCAATCGCCAGTTGTGAAAACGTTACTGATATTCGTCGTCGATTTTATTTAGGTTTTGGTTTTTGATAATTATACATTTTAACTCGACAGTATGATCAGTCATAGACGAAGAATGGAAATTTGTCACGACGAATTACTTCCCTCTTCTTCAAATGTTTTTTTTTTTCTTTTTTTTTTTAGATTTTCAGTTTAACTTTCAGTGTCGTTGTGTTTGGTTTATGGACGGTGCATTTACAAAGCGAAAATTTATAAGGGCCAATAAACGATCCCTGGTTGTGTTAGACTTTTGTTACGGAAATAATTCAAATCGTGTCTTCCATCATTTCAGAAATGTTCAGTTTATTGTTTTCGTTAATGTTGTCAGACTTCCATCCTCACAAATTTACATTTTTGTTACTACACATTAAGATCGCGTTGACATATGACAGACGACGACGATCGATACAGCGGTTCTTCAACATGTTTATCGTATCACCCTCACTGTTTACACTGTTAACATTTTCACCGCTGACATCGCACCTTTGAAATATAACTCGCGACAGAAAATACTGAGTAGAATCGGAAGCTTAATGAAACATTTTTCTCCGACTGACAGGTAAGCCGCGCTCCTTGGGACAGGAGTAGGTTATCGAAGTCCGCATGCGCAGATTATAAGTGTTCTCATTGGTCTATCCTCGGTTTTAAATCCATTTCGATCCGCGGTTAAGAGAGGTGCGGAGAAGTTAATTCTATCTTGTGGAAGTATGTACACGTTATTCAACAAATTGTCAAAATAATCATTAATCGACCGAATACGGTGAATGAGTAAGACTTAATCATCTCGATAGTCATTTGTTGTACACTGGAAATGGAAAAATATAAAATTAGTTTATGGAAGTCCACCAATCTTCTTTACGGTTCCTTTACGTTTAATAATCCTATACATTTTTCTTTATTTTGTTTACTTTCATGTTCCTTTAATTACCATGTATGTTGATATATAACAAATAGTCTGCGTGAAAAGTATATTTATTAGAAGATTTAAAATTGTTTCATACATTATTAGGAAATTAGATAATTTTCCAGATGGCACACAACAATTAAAATTTTCATAGGTGATCAATAATTATACCTTTTAAGGTTACTATTCCTTTATGAATACACGGTATAGGTATGGAATTCCTTTTGTGTCAACAAAAATATGTTTTTCGTTTGTAGAGGATATGGTTTTGATAAGATAGACAACTACTTTAATACACGAACGTTCGCATTACATTCTTTGGGCAAATGTTAAACGTAGGCTTATCATTACAGAGGTAAAAGTAGGTGACTTAGAAGCGCAGGCGCCACCGTATCTATTTCCGATTTCGGGCATGCTTGTGAATCTTGTCTTACCCCTCCTTGACGTGTTCTGATTCCACCGATGAATGCATAACCCTGGTTAGACAAATTTCTTACGTTAAGTTTACACAATTATTTCATTTAGTCGTAAAGTGGATTCGTAACTGCATATTCGACCTATCTTGACATAGGTACGGCAGCATTTGGTATCAAGCTAAAGGCATTGACACTAATTGTGAGAAAATTTGAGTCTTATGAGATGGAAAATTATGGTTTTTTTTTTATACAAAACGTAACAAAATGTCTCATACCGTAAAAGGAGCAAGATACTACGTATTCCTTAACATCGACACACAGTATTGTACAGCAAATTTTAGTATAGTACTGAGTATTCCATCGAAATACAGTATAATTCTGCTGCCGACATTATATTACAGCATTGTACGTCAGAATAGTGAAAGATACAGAATACTCCCACATCATACAAAGTTACATAAAGTCATATGCCATAATGCAGCAAGATACTACGCAATCCTCGACCTCGATACACAGTATTGTACAGCAAATTATGCAAATGTATCACACATTTTGAAAAGAAGATAAGTCACTCAGTATCAAAAAATATTATTACGATTTGGACTAATTATTAATCTTCAAGTAAGCATTATGTTAAAAAATAAAAAGAGTATAATTGTTAACAGAGTAAAATTACTGTAACACCAGTATATATGACCGTATTGTAATTACGATTCGAAGAAAAAAAGAAAATCTATTTCGACGAACAGTCTGTAAATAGAGAAGTTTTATATAATATTAGACAATTGCAAAAGAAGCAATAAAAATTACCTCAATCGAAGGAACAGACCCAAAAAGGAACTCAATGTCTAGTACAAGATTTTGACCAACTAGTGTTCCACAGTGACAAGAATATAAGAGAAAAAGTAATAATAACCCGACTAAAGACTGCCCACTCTAAACTTGCATATGAGTACCTGTTAAAGAAAACAGATCCATAGCATCGCAACTCCTGTAACAAACAAGTTATAATTAACCACATTTTATACGAGGACAGAAGATTCGAGGTGCAAAGACGAAAATACAACGGACATGGCCCTGACATCACAAAAACGAGTCCAAAATACCGTAAATTTCGTAAATTTCGTAAATGGGAACACCTGCATATCTACGTTATTTATAGTTCTATAAACAAAATCTATAGGACGAAGTTACACTGTTTGAAGGGGTACGTGTAATAGTGGAACTATTATTTACTCAAAGTCAGTTTTTAAAGAGATTTCAAGGCTATTGACGTTGTTTAAATGGAATGTGGTATTTTCATTATTTTAATCTCGTAGCTGATAAAAAAACAAATTCAGACATGTATAAAATATTAACCTTCAGATAATCTTGTGAGGAATTATTTTTTTACGTATTATATTCCATAATAATATGAGAACATTTCTTGCTACAGACATTTTTTACTGTAACTTTTGTGTTACAAACTACATATGAACTACATAATTTGAAGAATCCCTATATACTTTCAAGGTTCCAAATACCTTTGACCGAAAAAGAACAAAATGGCGAACGTTAGAATGTTCTCAACACTTTTCTTGAATTTTGATCAGCTAAAAATATAGTTAAATATTAATGCATAATTATAATTCTATTACGAACGATAGCTACAAAACTATATTTTAATAATCTGTTTGTTTGCTTTCGAATGATCCAGTTTTTTTGTAACATTGCTCACCGCGAACCATGTTTTCTTTGGAGCTCCACCAGCTAATCGTTCATATCTCAAAGAATTTTAAATCTTTTTGGATGGAAATTTTTGTGGTATATTTTCAAGCATATATCTTTCCGATAGAGGAACATTGATTATGAAATATATCAACCAAGCATGATACAAATTCGCGAGGAAGTCCCTTTTTTAGACATTACAAGTACCCCTAATCCCTGGTTTTAGCAAATGTCCGAATATTGAAGTTATTCATAGTGTGCCATCAGACTCCTGATTCGGTCTTCAATTTGTTTGGATACTTCAAACGATTCCCCCATGCGTCGGGATAACGGAGTCACTGCATTTTTGCAGTTTTTGTTTCCCCCCTATAGAGGGAGCGATTAGCGTCGCGGGGGCGTTGAATTGGCAATCAGGCGGCAGACGACGTAGACGGGTCCGATTACAATTCCACGAGTCGTGGTACACTGCGAGTAACTCGAACTAACTGGCCTGATATGAGAGCTCGAGACTAACCGTAGTCAACTACGGACAATCTAGCCATCAACCTTAAACGGAATACATTTACGGTTAGATGCGTATACACTTACACTCCTGGTGAAGCGAACAAGTGACGTTAGCATCCGTTCCCTTGCCACGACCTACACTGGGACAGAACTAGAAAAAATGTAATCATACATCTGAAAATTCGTAAACAAGTTGGTATCGTAGAGGTATTATAAATGGAGCAGGGGAGACATAGGTCTCCCTGTAAGCGGAGATGTCACGTAGTGAAAAAGAGAAAAATGGTACCCGATACATCTCTGTGCTTTTATTAATGTGGATGCAAGATATATACATATATAATTATTATTAGCTGTAGAAATTAATTTTGTGTCTTTATAATCAATCGTTTATAATTGTAACTTAAGAAAAAAATATTTATTTCATCATTTTGTTGGTCTAAATTATCAATCTTTTAAGTTCTCAAACTGATGGTCATTACAATTTAGCTATGTATACGAAGTTCAGTAACCTACAAATTTTACTTATTCTTGTTTTTCCAATAGGGTATTTACCCGCCATTTTGTTACATTCAAATATCAACATGGTAATGACTTGCATAGATTGCTTTGAAATTTAGTTTTAGATTAAATTTAGTTACCTTAGAAAGGTACAGAATTAATGTCTACACCTAGTAGAAGTATAAGACGATAACCATTTACTATTAACATAAAAATGATATAAAAATGCGTTGGTAGGCAGAGACAGCTAGGTTACCGCGGTTTTCTTTTCAGCTGTAGTACGACCGGAGGTCTGGCTCCCTTACTTTATGTATAATATCTCTATCGTTAGAATTCCTACACAGGAAGGCGAAGCCGAATTAACCCTGTTTTCAGACGATTTCGTGAATATTTTACGAATTTCTTATAGTTGACGTAAAATCATTTCTACGTTATTACTAGGCTTATAACGTCACTTCTCTATATAAAAACTTGATTAGCTTTCTCTATAGCAAAATTTATTATTACACTTTTATTATTGAAGATAATAGGGAAATCCTTTCTCTTTTTTTCTGCATAT